CATGCAACTATGCACGAGTGTGGTGATACATATCGTCGATTCATGAGGGTAGTAATGCCCTTTACCGTCAGGCGTCAAACGGTCATTTTCGGCTAACGTTAGCTTCAAATTGGTTAAAATTTTACCGTGATTCGTAAAAATATCCTTATCGTGATTCGTCAGAGGTCTCAAATAATTATCGTTACCGTTATTTTTGGAAAAAATTTAACGTGATTCGTCAAAATCAGTCTATTTTTTTACCGTCTAAAAGAAAGTGTACATTTTATCGTCATGCACCAAAAATTACTGTTAACGTCATTTGGCAAGATTTTTTTATCGTTATTCGTCATGAAGGTACCCCCATTACGACCCTCATTCATAGCCTGTCTAGGAAGAACAAATGGGCACATTTTCCCTTCAAAATCTTGGATCCATGATTATTCGATAGACATGCTTTAAAATATTGTTCATTTCTACTCACCGATTGTAATTTCCAGCTCAGCTTATATTGTACATGTGGTCTAACATCTGTAGTTTCCTGTGTAAAATATAGTTTGCCGACCTGCAGGTCCAGTTTGCCGACAAGAAAATAAAGAGGGTAAATCGTTCACGGTGAAGAATTGTTTTCCGTTTTTAATGAAACTTGACAGATTTAATTAATTATTTTAATCATCATCGGAAATATCCCTCATGGACAGTAATTCAAATTAAAACTGTTTTATTATGCTGTACAATATTGGTCACTTAGTAATATTCTTTAAATTTACTTCAGGTACACCGACGGTACCGATTTTCTATTTCTCAGAATTTATCAAAACTTTTTCAAATATAAATTTGAATGAATTCATTAGCATCTTCTGCAATAATATTAAAACTCCATTTTTAAACGAAGGCTTCTGGTATGTAAAACCAGTTATGAACGAATCTGAATAGATAAAATAAAAAGTAAAGATACCTAAAGGAAAGTCAAACGCACATGTCAAAAATGAACGGACAATGCTATGGCAATAAACGGAAAACGACAAAAGACAAACAACGATCGCAAAATAAATAAATAAAAAAAAAAAAAAAACAAGTCAACAACCGCACAATAGATGATAATAGTATAAATTATGGGCTATTTCACAACTATATCAAATCTTGAGAGCCGGGTGAAACGTAATTTTTTTCTTACACTGAGTTGCTACCGTGACGCTAAAATGTTTGTCGACTGCAACAACCTATGAAATGTTTGTTTTAAACATTTAACGACTGTAGCAACCTATGAAATGTTTGTTTTAAACATTTAACGACTGTAGCAACCTTTTAAAATTTGTAATAAACATTTTATGACTGTAACAACCTTTTAAAAGTTGTAACAAACATTTTACAACTGTCCCAACTCTAAAAACGTTGTAACAAACATTTTTTGACTGCATCAACGTCTGAAAAGTTGACACAAACAAATTTCAACTGTCCCAACTATTAAAAGGTTGGGACAAACATTATACAACTGCCACAACTTTTGGAAAGACTGTAATACATAGTATTTGACTGTGACAACCCCGTAAACCACTGCAACAGTCCTTAAATGACTGTTGATAACATTTTTTGATTTTCACAACCCATAAAAGTGTTGGGACAGACATTAATCAACTGTATCAGTTTCTTTGACAGTCATCTTCAGTCTTCCACAGACTAAGACAGTCGTACAACAACTGTTACTGGTATGGACAGTTGTTTTTTCGTCCAGTAGTGAATTCTAAAGAACTTTAAAACTATTCTTTGTTCAAATTACAAAATCATAACGTACAATTGATAAACAACAAGCTTCATTTGCTTCAAAACACGCGCATTAAAAAAGAACATATTTGTTGTTAAACACATTAAAACCTGGAAATTGAAGTTGATTTGATAAAAGCTACAATTAACAGAAGCTCTTCTCTGTGTGGTTTAGGGCCGTTTTTATAATAACATGAATGCAGCTGCTGAGTATTTTTCAATGAAACAATATGGTAAAATATATCAGTTGTTTTTATTCATAATAAATTAGCAAATAACTACTCTTTTACGAGTCCTTATTACTAAAATATTCAAAAGAAGTCAGTCGTCAGTGATGTTTAAGGTATTATGGATGGCCCTCTGCCTAATGGCATCGTAAAATACCAAAAAAAAAGCATTTGGCCTTCATTTTTAGTGTAAGAAGCAATTTTTTTAGAATACAGAATACTTTTTGATTGATTCAATATTTGTAATATGGTCTTAGAAGAGACGATAACTCAGATAATTAAATTTTATAAAGGAATGTTCAGTAAACTTTATATTTTGTATTACAGAAAAGAATTTTGTAAGCGCTATCTTCTCATATTTCATCTCAAATGTCTTTTTTTTTGGCTTTTGTTTTAACACCTATTCTACTTTAAAAATGAAAAGATCCTCTTTTTAACACAAACTAGATAGAAGATTCTAATAAAACAAAGGACTATTAACTTCATTATTTCATGTATTAAAGACTATGTTCCAATCGAAGGACAAAATGGTATGTTTAACCATTAAAGAGTCTTTTGAATTACTTTAAGTACTTTTGGAACACAAACAAATATTGCTGGGTCGAAGTCTTTTTCTTTCGATTTGGAAAAGGAACTCACAATGATGTTGATTTGATTTTAAACTTAAATATGCAGATGACACGGTTATAAGATTCTAAAGAAGAAAATATCACAATTGCGATATGTTTTGATTACTTTTAGGAGAACTCGTAAAGTGGCAATTAAAAATTATCAAGATTAAAACAACGTATAAATAGTTTCAAGTAGAACAGTTTCTAACATTCAAAATTTGCTAGAATAAAAGTTAGATTAAGAGGACCAAAACTTTGAAGTAACACTATTGTATATTATTTGTGAGAAGTGAACCAGGTCCTTTTTTAACACTTGAAAATGTTTGAAAGAACATGAATATATACAATGTATAAAGTGTAGAAAAAGAAAAAGATTTGTTTCTGCTAAATGCAAGCTTGATTCATGTGATAAATATGAATAAAAAGAGATCCGATGTAAATATTAATAAGACAACAACCCAACAATAAGAAAAAAAAAACACCAGCTAGAAGTCTTTACATATATATTTATATCTCTGTATGGTGCAGAAGTGCTATCAACCGTAGGATATATTATTATTCGTACATGTGCTGTTTTGTTAATGTCTGCTACAATTGAAACAGTCTACTCCAAATTGTTTTTCAGAATTAGGAAGATATCCGATAGATTCAAATTACCTGTACATTTGTTATTTTTGTTAATTCATTTATATTCAATATAATTTATTAACTGTGATTTAAATAAGCTATGTTTGCCTTATTAAGAAAAAACACCTTAGTGTTTTGATATTATTTTATCTAGATATAACGAAGCTGCTTCCATATATCCCAATAATATTAAGAAACTAACCGCCATTGGAGTAATTCCATTCAAATTGAGAAAATTAAATATTCTGTAATAAATCAGAAACAGATGAAACAGATATTTATTTTGTGAAATAATATAAAACGGCGCATATCTATTGTCTTAGTAATAAACTTCAACTCACAACCAGAGAAAGAAGACGGTATGTTTTACATGCAAAAGGAATTAATATACATATTAAATTTACAAACGTTTGTGGCCTTTTTTTGACTACGCAAAAAACATTCTACGATCCCATTTAGGTATTGATTATTTTAATCTTATTCGCTATCAAATTTTACTCGTAAGAATATTTTGGTGAACATAGCTGCTAATTGGAAAACGCATGATCCAACAAATGTAAATAGCGTATACAGAACACTTATATAATTTATAACCGAATGGTACAGGCAAGATGAATCTATAGTTAACAGTGTATACCGAATCCTTACACCGCATTTTACCAAATGGCACACACATGATCAAACTTAAGTCAATAGTGTATACAGAACCTTTACACCATTTTTATACGCCTGTCAACATTTTGAAGGGACGTATTATGGTATGCAAATGGCGTCTCTCCGTCTGTCCGTCTGTCCGTCTGTCCGTCTATCTCGTCTGTCCGTCTGTCTGTCCGGCGTAAAAATGTCGCACCGTAACTTGAGAACGACTTATCCAAATTTCATGAAAATTAACATAGTTGTTTCTTATGATAGTCAAACGATCTGTATACTTTTTAGTGAAAATAAGATTAAAACTTTTTGAGTTACAGGACTTAGTAACTAAAATAGGTGTGTGTTTTTTTTCACATGTCGCGCCGTATCTCAAAAACAATTTATGATTATTGCTTAAAACTTTACACACTTTTTAGTTATATCAATGTTAAGATCTGTATACTTTTTGGTAATGATTGAAAATTTGATTTTTGAGTTATTGAGTATTTTGTATAACAAGGGGGAGGGGTTTTTCACATGTCGCGCCGTATCTCAAAAACGATTTATGATTATTGATAAAAATTTTACACACTTCTTAGTTATATTAATCTAAAGATCTGTATACTTTTTGGTTATGATTCAAAATTTTATTTTAGAGATATTGATTTTTTATTTTTTAAAGGGGAGGGTTTCACATGTCGCGCCGTATCTCAAAAACGATTTATCATTATTGCTTTAAATTTTACACACTTCTTAGTTATATTAATCTAAAGATTTGTATACTTTTTGGTTTTGATTCAAAATTTAATTTTAGAGATATTGAGTTTTTTGTAAAAAAAGGGGGATTTTTGGATGTCGCGCCGTATGTCAGAAACTATCTATGATTATTGCATAAAAATTCACACACAAGACGACAGGCGTATCATGCGCTCATGGCGCAGCTGTTTATTAACCAAATGGCACACGCACGATCAAACTATAGTCAATAGTGAACCCTTACACCATTTTAAACCGAATGGCACACACACGATCCAACTATATTCATTGGTGTATACAGAACCCTTACACAATCTTAAACCAAATGGCACACGCTTGGTCAAACTATAGTCAATTGTCTATATAGTTAAACCGAAAATATGATTGATAAAGATTTTGTCTTCGGCAGAATGAAGATCGCAATTTGCCTACTGTTCGCCATCTGTAGCGCTGTAAGCGCCTCTTGGAAAGGATATAGTGGAGGATACGGAGGTGGATATGGTGGATATGGAGGATATGGTGGTGGTATAGGATACAGTGGTGGTTCAGGATACGGAGGTGGTTATGGAGGATACGGAGGTGGTTATGGAGGATATGGTGGTTATGGAGGATACGGAGGTGGTTCTGGAGGATACGGAGGTGGTTATGGAGGATATGGTGGTTATGGAGGAGGAAGAAAAATATTTGTTGTAAGAGTTGGAGGATATGGAGGAGGATATGGTGGTTATGGAGGCGGAGGATACGGTGGTGGTTATGGAGGATATGGTGGTTATGGTGGTTATGGAGGTTATGGAAGTGGTGGTTATGGTGGTTATGGAGGTTATGGAAGTGGTGGTTATGGAGGTTATGGTGGTTATGGAGGTTATGGTGGTTATGGAGGAGGAAGTAGTGGAGGAGGTGGTTATGGATATGGAAAGGGCAAAGGTAAGATAATGTCAGCTTAAAATCAATTTTAGATCATTGTTTTAATTGCTCATTGACTGGCTTGCTTTCATTTTCTGTTTGAATACAGCAGATATGTTGACAAGGTATTCATTAACATCTTCCTACACTGCTGTATACTATAAATCAACATGGACACCATGCCTAATTTAGCAGAAAATTGCCAATCAACAATATGTTGTCATCAGTTCCAAACAAAATTGACTTAGAATGCATACACAAAAACTGTTTTCCCTAGAATTCCATAAATTGTGTTTTTTCAAAAAGAATGGAATCTAGATAGCTAAACTATTCCAGTGATCCTGAAAGTCTACCATAAACGATCATCAGAATAATTAGTCGAAATAAAACAAAATTGAATAATAGTAATGATTATTAACCATAGTAATTAATCATACCAAAGTTGTTTTTTTTTGGAATGGCAATACGACAAACAATAAGGTTTCTTTATATAAAAAAAATCTAATTATAAAATTATTGAATTGAAAATTTGTCACGACTGCTCAAATAACAACAAAAAACTGATAACATCGTGAAGCCAATGTTATGCTATAGTTTACTTTTATGTTTTTCAGGATATTAAAAACAGACTCTCACCAAAATCGGACAACGAATGATATTGTTTTTTTACAATTCTGATATAAAATATAATCGTTGCATTCAATTTGTGTTGAAATCATAACTCTTTTGTCACTTCTTAGATTGAAGCACTACCTACACTCAAGTCGCATTGCTGTTGAATGTAAACATCAACTTCTGAAATTTCATGTCTAAAGTAAGGTTTTATCTTCTACCATACTTACTACCATACTCTCACAGACCCAGTTTAAGTAGGATTGAAATATAGATCATTCGATTGAAATATCGATAATTTGATTGAAATATCGATCATTTGATTGAAATATCGATCATTCATTAAATACGGTAAGTGACAAAATATTTTCAAACAAAGTTTCTTTTTCGATTTGAATGAATCTGTTAAAAAGAGAGAGGCAAAAGATAACAAAGGGACATTCAAACTCATTAATCGAAAATAAACTGACAACATCATTCCAAAAAAAGAAAAGGACCAAATGACAAACAACAGTATACAAAACACAACATATAAAACTAAATAGATATAGGAAGATGTGGTATGAGTCCCAATGAGACAACTCTCCATCCAAGTTACAATTTATAAAAGTAAACCATTATAGGTCAAGGTACGGCCTTCAACACGGAGCATTGGCTCACACCGAACAGCAAGCTATAAAGGGCCCCAAAAAATTACTAGTGCAAAACCATTCAAACGGAAAAACCAACGGTTTAATCTATATAAAAACGAGAAACGAGAAACACGTATGAACTACATAAACAGACGACAACTACTGTAATCAGATTCGGGACTTAGGACAGGCGCAAACATTTGCAGCGGGATTAAACGTTTTAATGGTACCAAACCTTCTCCCTTTTCTGAAACAATAGTATAACATCACATCATAGAAAAACACACTATAAAATATCAATTGGAAGGCTTAACTCAATCAAAAAACGTAAATTAACACACAATGAACGAATGAATTTGACCTGTGACACCTGAATACAAATACAGTTAATTACAAGGGATAAAATATTAAAGTCAAAAGTAAATAAACAGGTTTAAACAAAGTTAAAGAATGATTTCACAGTGAAATGTCAAACAATTTTTAGAAAATCATCACTTTTGAAGACACCTGCGTCATATTATACACAGGTAAATGAAAATAATTTTGTTGTTAAGTATACTTCTTCTTCTATGTGTATAAAACCTTCCGTTTAGGAATACCAAGAAATTTCTTTAATATCAATAAAACTAATCTAACACTTGGTACATATGGGGTGAATATCAACAATAAAACTATACAATTAGTGCTAGATAAACCTTCCTGAACAGGTCCAAGAACAGCATCTAAGGAAAAATGAAATAATTTTGATGTTCATAGGACGAAGAAGTGAACATTTGTAGTAATACCAAATAATCAAAGCTGGTATATAGACAAGATCCATGTTAACATTAAATAACAAAAAAGCATTACAAATAGTATCAACAGGTCAAATTAAAAAGAAAGTACGATTTGAGAGTACTCGCAGTTACTAACAGCTAGTTAAAAGCCAAACAAAATTAATAATAAAAAATCATGCATCAGAGACTAAAATCAACAAAATTACATCCCAGGGATTTAGTATTTTAACGTCATGAACAGTCAAAGAAGACTTGACTTGTGCAATGCCAAAAATAAATGTATCATCAGGTAGTAGGATAGTTAGGAGTGACTTCTTTATAGATAAAAATGAACGTGTGTGTGTCTCTATACATCCCGTTTGAAAAGAAAGTAGGAAATTAACACATAACTAAACTTTGGAGTAGGGGCATTAAGGCCCGGTTTTGGCCCAAGAAAATAAAATATTTGACAACTATTTCAAATTTGCACATACTGTTTGAATATGTATAGAGTCAGGAAATATAAATGAAAAACATCAGATTTTTTATCTGATGACGTCACAATTACGTCATAATATGTACCGTTTTCATGAAAACGATGAAAAATACAGAATTTATACAGTTTTCCATCGTTATTTCCATTGTGGAAACATCGTGCGCAACCAACAAACAACAAAATAATTTAAGAGAAGCTTTATTATGACTATTGACATAAGTTCACCAAATATAAAGTTGTTTCTTGTGTGCGCACATACTTTGCCAATCTAAAATATACTTAAAATCTGATGAAAAACAAGTAAAATGAAGATATTTACAAAATATACTAATTTCGTCATGGTTTGTTGCCTTGGTAACTCGTTAAACGCGAAATTCGTTTTTATTTTCTGAATACCTTGTACCTTAGTCTAGTTATGACAAATTTGAGAATATGTTTGATAATTTTTGAATTTGCAATAATATTTGGGCCAAATAAGGGCCTTATTGCCCCTACTCCAAAGTTTAGTTATGGGTTAATTTGCTAATGACAAAATCGATATTAGTGCCAATGTAAACTATATTCAGAGATCTAATTACAACATTGGTACGATAACCCTTACTAATAAGTTTGTTTAAATGTTCGATGAGTTTACACGGATCACATAATGATTTTAGCGCTTTAAGTATAATATTACCATAAAATTTAGGATGTGAAATACCATTTTTAATCAGTTTTCTACAGGTACAGCCAAATCTACTAAGCAAATCTTTGTATCTATGAAAGGATTTAGTAAAAGTTTTAAGTAATTTATAATAACGAAATCCCTGACTTAATAATTTACCAGTGATGCATTGATTACGTTCGTTAAAATCTATGACATCTGCATGAGAACACGAACCCCACCAACTTGTGATAGCGTCTGTAAAATTTTTGAAGGGTTAATTTCAACTTCGCCACTTATAAATCTTGGTTTATCAGCTTCCTTGTGAGTAGTAACCTTCTATCAAGGAGATCATGAAAGGAAACGCAAGCCCTGGAATATCGTATCAACTGGGAGATATAAACTCCATATGCAGGCGCTGCTGGTATGTTGCTAAATAGAAATGGAAAGTTCATAATTGGGAATCTGAAATCATCTCTTTTGTCGTAAAGTTTTGTTCTCAACCGCCCATCATTGTCAGTTTCTAGATATGAGGCAGACTTAAATGTATCTGTTGTATCCTTTATTTCAAGTGCAATGGGTAAATTCGATCAACATAGTCACTAAACTTTGAATAATTTAGCGAAAGGACATCATCTATATAGCGGAAGGTGAAGTTAAAGGATAATAATAGCTTATATTCATTATTTCTTAGAAGCTACTGTATCCTGTATGAAGTCAGCCTCGTATGACTAAAGGAAAAAGTCGACAAGAGGAGCAGAGTTGTTTCCCATAGGAATGCCAATTGTTTGTTTAAAAACACGTCCTCAAAACGTAACAAATATGTTGTCATTCAAGAAATCAAGCATCTTGGTAATGTCAATTTCAGAGAATATTTTGTTAAAATCAGAGCGATGTTTTTTTTTACCAAGTACGATTTATAACTCCCTAAGACAAGATACTTAGCCATTCTTTTTATGAAAAATAGCAGGACACATTCTTTCAATGTGCCTTTTAGATAGGAATGGGGTATACTTGTGTAGAGGATAGAAAAGTCAAATTTTTAATACTATTTCAAGATGAAAGAAACAGATCTTTGGAAGTTTTTACTTTCCATATCTGATTCACGCCACCCCTAGAATAGGTAGTTTCACATAACGTGGAAGCCGGAGGACTTTATCATATGAACAGCTTCCAAAATGTCTGTCGATAAAACTTTCCTGTTCCCTTTTTTTTTACTGGTTACTAATTTTTAAATTTGTTAAAACACCATATCTCTTACAATTAGTTTCCATAGTTTTTCCAAGAAAGCAAAGTTATTGATTTTGAGAAGGCTTTAGAACTAAGAATAGTATTTAAATCTATATATTTAATAAGCAATGGGGATTGAGCAAATCTAATAATTATATGAACATTATTAAATTTCATTCCTAGTGATAAATATTATTCAAGATTTCCTGAACGGACCTCATCTTTTGTGCGGTTATTTGATATTGATATTATTTTGTGCACCTTATTAATCTCAACAATTTATTGATCTAGTGATTAGTCCTTATGTAAATCATTTTGGATATTCAATATCACATCTAATCCGATATTCATAATCATAATAATATGCAAAGTTTATAATTTGTTTAATTTCCGCTTTGTTCACCCACTCAAAATCTCTTGTAGGTAAAGGTTGTGCCATAGAATGTCTAGAAACATTGTTGGCATCTAATAAGATACATTACTAGTTAAGTCGCCAAAACGTAAATGGTAACTGACATGGGCAGGGTTCCAGTTTAACTTGGAATTTTCAAAATGGCTGCTGTTATCCTGGAAACAGTAAAAATGTTAAAAATTCTTAATCTTATATTATAAAAGAGGGACGAAAGATACCAAAGGGACAGTCAATATAAGACAGTCAATATAAGATCCAACTAGATGAAACTTTATGGAAATGTTACCCAGTATGCCTAGATGTGCAAATCTAAATGATAGTTCACTATAACAAGGAACCTTGAATTTAGAGTTGCAGTACAACTTTGGAACAAAAAGATGGCTGCCATAACCATGGAAACCGAAAAAAGGTGAAAAAATAAACTTTTTGAGTTTGGTGAATAATTTCAAATTGCTTAAACTTTAAATCATTAAATTTTAATACTTTTTTTTTATTTTAAGAGTGTTACACAGTTAGCTTTATAACCAATCTTCCATGTAACAATGTAGTTGTCCACTATAAACAGGTTTTGACTGATTTTGACAATCATTGTAACTATTATTTTGCCATGGAAACTACAGCAAAAATTTCATAAATTTCAAGATGCTCCAAACTCGATGAAAATTCACTGTTATGTTGACTGGCATATGAAGATGTGTCATTTGGCTTTGGAATTTCCAAATTGCCGTCACCATGGAAACAATGCAAAAAAGGTCAAAATTCTCCAAAAACCTTAAAGTAGCATTTCTTCTCTTCAAATGGTAGGTCAAATGCATTGAAACTTTAATGGCATGTTCCCTCCGATGTACCAATGTGGCATCTGTAATTGAAATATTGGGAATGGTGTCTGTTACCATGGAAACCAGCAAAAATGTCGAAAATTT